TGCAGATGTGTCTAGTAGTTCCCATTGATTTAGCTTGGAAAGCGGGGAGAATGGCGCTAGGCTTACCGCACCGTGACGTCACTGCTGGAAGATGGCAGGAGGGAGGGGCTACTATATTTGGGCAAAAATGGCCGCACTCAGACTCAGGGATCACGAAAAAAAATATATATATCATTTTTATTTTTCTACCTTTTAATGCTAAAGTCAATAAATCACAGCGGATGTATTAGTTTTAGGCATAAATAATGTCCTCCAGATGGATTTGATGAAGGAAGTTGAGGAATTTAGATGTATAACAAAGACCAGCAGGTGGTTGTGGAGAATGAGTCCTGTTGAGTCCTAGATGGGTGGACTGGACCAAGAAGTGACCAGAGGATTAACGGGACGCGTTGATGAGCTCTAAAAGCTGGATCACAGAAACTAAAGACAGATGACCTGGTTAGAATTGTCACTCCTGCTGGTCTCTGTTAGTCCAATGGGCTTCATGTGACAGAAATGTTTAAAAAATCTTTTTTTTCCCCAAGTTTATGTCAAGTTAAAGTACAACTAAAGTTAATCGCCTGAGACCGTTTGTACAAACTAGGACTTTGGTTTCAGGTGCTCAAGACGTACATACTGTAAGTTTAGATTTATAAACTTAAATTAAGTGCATTTACCCCTAATTTAAGTTGGCTAACAAGATGATCTGCCAATGGAATGAGTATTTTTACTCTTAAAATAAGATAATTGAATAATATGCACACAAAATAAGAGAATACAATATTTTTATTAGTTTAAATGTTAACTGTCTAGTTCCACTGGCAAAGGGTCTCACTTACCTCCTCAATTCAAGGAAAAAAATAGCATATTTTAAGCAAAGATTACACATTGAGATTTCATTTTTTTTCCAGTGCAAACAAGTTAGCTGTTATTTTTGTGGAAATAGACCCGCACAGGTCCTGGATGAAAGGTTAATCATCTTTCCTCTGCAGACCTGAACATTTGTACCAGTTTGGATCAGTCCTGTTTATCAGATGAGCCAAACCATAAAGAGATGGACGATCAGGACAGGCTGATGATAGAGTTGGAGAAGAGGAGCAGCAGCTCCTGTGGAGGGTTGTTCTTCTTACCCTTCCTGTCTGTAAACTGTCAGCAGGTGAGTCGGCCAAAGTCAAGTCTCTAATGCCTCAGCTCTGTGTGAAATACTTTGTGTCAAGGAGTATCAATATTTAACTTGTTCTGTTTCTCCTTTAAGAATTCCAGCTAATCACCTGTTCGATATGACATTTACAGGACTTTCAATTAAAATTATTCATTTTCTTTTTGCAGTGAAAAAAAGGCCTCTGACTCTCACCACCGGTCCATCATGGTTCCCCCGTCAGGTGTTAAGCCCACTGAGGCATGGACTCATGTCTTTTGCTCAGGCCTGGCAGAGTCACATTAGATCACCCCAATCCTGGGTCCAGAGATAGGTTCAGCTTTACCACGCAACTTCACTGGCCTGGTTTTTGTACTCACGAAGGACTTCCAACCGCTCTTTGTCTGACCCAACACACAGTCTTGGGATACTCTGACAGGGACATTTAAGGGCACTTAGACCCCTTCACCACGTTAAAATGACCATCTAAGGAGAGGTTCTCGATGGGAAAAAGATGCCTTACCATCTTCAAGACAGATATTTTCTTTTAAGGCTAGGCTTAAAACTTTCCTTTTTGATAAAGCTTCTAGTTAGAGTGGCTCAGGTTATCCTGAGCTATCTCTATAGTTCTGCTGCTATAGGCTTAGACTGCTGGAGGACATAGGGACCCCTTTTTCATCATTCTGCTTCATTCTATCTCTATTCTCCCACTCTGCAGAAATATCAACTTTGCTGCATGGGAGCTGGCTCGGAGCTCGTCTGCCTGGCTGTGTGTTTCCTGGACGGGGCCGCCTGTGGAGCTGGTTGACAGTTGCCTTTTGTATCTATGCTTCTTTTTCTATGTCTGCTTCTGTCTCCTTGAACCCCAGTGGGCCTCAGCAGATGGCCGCTCACACTGAGCCTGGTTCTGCTGGAGGTTTCTTCCTGTTCAAAGGGAGTTTTTCCTCTCCACTGTCGCTACAAGCATGCTTAGTGTGAGGGATTGCTGAAGAGTCAATGAGTCGATGCAATCAGCTGGTTTTCCTTAGATAGAAAACTCTGTAAATTGCCTTGAGATGACATGATGGGAATTGGGGCTATAGAAATTAACTGATTTGAATTGAATGCTGTTTTGGAGAGTTCCTGCCTCAAGTAAAGGAGTTCAGGTATCTTTGAAACTTGTTTAAAAGTGAGGGGTGTTGAAGAGACAGTTGGGCCAAAAGAAAAAAGTCTTGATTTACATGTTGGTCTACGTTCCTGCCCTCACCTATGATCATGAAGTCCAGATTACGATGAAAGAATGAGATCCTGAATTCAAGCAGCTGAAATGAACTTTCTCCAAATGAGCACTCAGTCTAAAACTAAAAAATGTTTCCCATATTTTAATCAAACCTTTTCAAAATCAAGTCTTCCTAAATGTGCTTAATATACGTATAGTACATATGACAAAGTTATTTGGTTGAAAGACATAAAACAGAACGGAAAGGAAGAACATGAAATACAGTTGAACACAGTGAAAAGACAGCTGAAGAAACAGAGCAGTGACTAAGGGTGACGGAGTAAGGGAGGGAGCGCATAGAGAGGAAGAGGGAGCGGTGAGAAATAACAGATACTGGAGACGAACTGAAATCATAATAAAACATGAAGGACTGAGACAGACAGAAAAAAGAGAAGCAGACGGCAGGCTAGGCAGACACCAGGGGCCTCGGACATCTTGTCTTCTCCAGCATTCGCTTCTCACCTCTATGGACCCATCTGTTTCTGGATTCTTCTGAGATTCTGATGATCGCCTCTGCTCCTCAAAGAAGCCTTTGAAATGAACTTTTAGGAAATTAAGGGAGTCATTTCCTAGTATTTTACATAAATTTTTTTCCCGTTATCTTCTGCAGGCCAGTTAGTTCTACGTCAGCCTGAACACCTAAATTCGGCCAATCATATATCAACGGTCATCTGTCCGGTCACCAAACCAAGCTTCTGCCGCCCTGGCGTCCTCTTCCACAACATCTTCGTCCCCGCTTTCCTCCTCTAAATAAAAAATGGATGACGGAGGAGACTCATCCACGACCTCCGACACTAAACTCTCCTCCTCTTGCATGTTTCCTCTGTCCATAGCGTTCCTTGACAGCGTCGTTTCTAAGTCACCAATTTATGCTACTTGGTCCCAATGGAATTTCCCATTGGGAACCTACTAGCACTAAGTTGCTAACTGGTTAGCAAGATGCTTCCCACAAACCGGCCAAAATCAAAGAGGCTTGCAAACCTTCTGCCGCAACAACCCCGCCCCCTTGACAAACAACCAATCACATTCACTTTATTCACTCTTGTATGACTTCCTGCCGAGAGGCAAAGACAAAAAACAAAGTTAAAACTCAGGTTGACTAGAACTCAGTTTGACTCAGCAAAACTCAGCTTGGCTAGAGTACCTAAAACTGGCAAACACTCTGGCGTCAAGGTAGTGGCAATTAGCAGCTTAAGAACACTCCACAGGTAATTAAGCAACGAGCTGCAGGTGTGCAGGGAGGCCCAATGAGGACGGGGCACTACCTGGTGGAGGAAAAAAGGAAACAAAGAAACAACCCACAAAACTGGATTCCTGACAGTCCACCCTATAAAACCTGGAACTCAACACTATTTCTAACATTTTGAATTGAAAAAGCTTCCTGGATGGGAAGAGAAACGTCTTCAAACTTGGGAAAAAAGTCCAGTGGATTGTATTTTTACTTTTAAGGAATGACAATAACTAGATGACTAACAGTCTTCACCAGCAAATGGAAAAATACTAGAAGGAAAAACTTCTATTGGGAATCAATCAATGCTTTAAAGTTCAAAATAGGCTGTTAAATACAGAAAGTTCTCACAAATACAAATATGAATCTGTGAACATAAATGCATTTGATCACAAGTTGTCTATAGATCTATAGAACCTAAAACATGGACCTAGTCTCTACACTGTCACCCTTTGGTCCCTAAACTAACCAACTTTATCTCTGCTTCCAACGAGATGGATGCTACTCTGGGCAGAAGAAGACAGATTACAGTTTAGTCACACAGAGAGCTTTATTTCTGCAGACATGTCAGAGGTCTGAGGGGTTCCTAACCATTGGACCAACTGTGAGGTAGAGGGGTGGTGCCGTCATGCTGTGGGATTGATTCTGCCATTCCTAGAGGCAAGATTTGTGTTTGAGGTCCTGGATGTGGTCCATGAACACTGCAAAAACGATCTACTAATAAGTAGAAATTTCTTAAATTAAGTGTATTTAGCCTTTATTTCAGTAGGTAAACAAGATGATCTGCCAATGGAATGAGTATTTTTACCTTTAATATAAGATAATTAAATAATATGCACTCGAAATAAGACAATGCAATTTTTTTTCTTATTTTAAATGTAAATTGTCTTGTTCCATTGGCAAAGTATCTCACTTACCTCCTCAATTCAAGAACAAATGCATTTAATTTAAGAAAAAAGAACTTATTTAGATTTGATTTTTTGCAGTGAAGACTCAAAGTTTCCAACCAACCCGCAGAACATGACGGGTGTGATTTTTTTTTTAATAAGATCAGATCAAACTTCTATGTTTGGATTAAATGGACAAAAAAGTGGGAAATAGCAAAAGCAGCCTTTTGGTTTCTGTGTATGAGTGTCTAATCTGGCAGAAAGTAAGATTTAAAGGTCTAGTCAAAGTCATTTAATAAGAAGAAACTTTATTGTCGCTGTACTTATATCGTTTGACAGCATCACAAGTTAGAAGATATGTGAAATAAAAAAGTTATAAGGAAGAGAGAGCAGTGAGCCAGAGTCACTCCTCTGGTCCTCCTCCTCCTCCTCCTCCTCCTGGGCTGGAGGAGGAGGAGAAGGAGGAGGAAGAGGGATGCAGGAAAGCACACCTTACCTCCCTCCCTTTCTTCATCCCTCTCTCTATCCCTCCTCACTCCACACTGACAGCAGCTCTCATCCCCACAGCCCAGCGCTGCTGAAGCATTCAGACTCACACACAGACTCTGAGTGGCATCTCCAGCTCTCTCCAGGAAGCCCTTGGACTGCTGCAGGCGAGGTGAGTAAATATTTGGAAACTCCTCTGCTGCTGTGGAGTTGGTGTGATTTCTGCTCTCTGGATGCCTGCATGTGCTGTTGTGGTTTCCCCTCTGCTCTCAGTGTGTGTGTGTTGGTGTGTTTACGAGGCCTACAGGAGCCAATGAGACGCGTGTTTTGCACCAGACCAAAACAAATCCAGAAAATAATGCTGACTCGCTCCCGGAGGAGTACGTGTTTCTGTGCAGGCATGCGTGTGCATGTGTATTCCTGGAGAGGCCCGGAGTCTGACTGGAAACTTGTCAGCTGTTGGGAGTGTAACTGGTGAGGTAGACACTCTCTGCAGGCCAAGCGGTGGAGTTAAAGTAATACAAATCTTATTGTTCAACATTTTCAAACATTTTCTACTTGGTGCAGAAAAGTAAAATTCAGCTTGAAAAGGATCCAAGTCAGGAAACACTGAGTGGCTCCTCTAAAAGATATAAAGATGTTAAACAGGCATCATGTTGAGTTTGTTTATGCTGGGATGTTTATGAGCAGACAGTATGTTACCTGAGGCACAGAGGGATCAGAATCATGATGGTTTGGAGGCTCAGAAACCTCCTCAGACATCTTCATGGTCATGTTCTTCATGTTGGACAGAAAGACAAGTTAGACCCCTTTCCCATTGGCCGAAATAACCAGTTTAAACCCGGGAACAACAGGCATTTACTGGTGGTGGGTTCAGCTTACACATGTTTACCCGGGTTAAAACTACTCGGCAAGCGACCCGCGTTAAAATGGACTCGGTTCTGATGGCCATGCTGTGGGAACACCAGTATACCCGCTAAATTAAGTGACATCATTGTACGCAACATACGGACGTCAGCGCAACATTGCAGTCGCTTCTGATCTAACAAGCTGAAACAACTCTGTTTACAATCGATAAACATGGAGCAGCTCTGGTGAGATGGTTTCAGACAAATAATAGAGAGAAACAATAAATTCTATTCAGTTTATTTCTATAGCTCCAATTCAATACTCATGTCATCTCAGGGCACTTTCCAGTTCACCAGATCATCCAGTCAGATTGATTCAAAGTTTTCTATCTAAGGAAAACCAGCTGATTGCATCGAGTCATTGACTCTTCAGCAATCCCTCACACTAAGCATGCTTGTGGTGACAGTGGAGAGGAAAAACTCCCATTTAACAGGATGAAACCTCCAGCAGAACCAGGCTCAGTTTCAGCGGCCATCTGATGAGGCACACTGACTATGCCCCGCCCTTCCTTCCATGTTGCTCTCCATTGTTTACTTTCCTGATTTCTGTCGCACTGGTGACATTATCAACGCTAACCCAGCAGGGGTTAGCGTTGATAATGTCACCAGTCAACACTAACCCAGCAGGGGTTAGCGTTGATACAGCTGCCAGTGAGGGGTCTGACCAGCTTTTTTGGCCAGTGAGATGGGAGCTAAATGTCGGATGTTAGCGGGTAGATCCATGTTTAAAAAACGCGCGTTAACCTGCTATTTTCAGTGGGAAAGAGGCTATAGAGACATCCTCCTCTGAGTGAAGCTGGGTGATGAATCCACCTCAGACCTAAAGAGCAACGCCTTCCTTTAATCCACTGAGGTAACATTTGATCCATTTCAAAAGTCATTATTAAAGCTTGAAACATTTATTTTCACAAACATGTTAAATGTACTGCAGGAATCCCCAAAGTCGGTCCCAGAGGGCCACTGGGCTGCAGGTTTTAGAGGTTTCCCTGCTTTAGCACAGCTGATTCTGATTGTTGCAGTAGAGCAAAAGCCTGTTAATCAACAATCAATGTAAATCAGCTGTGCTGGAGCAGGAAACCTCTAAAACCTGCAGGACAGCAGCCCCCCAGGACTGAAGTCTGAGGTTTGAATCCAACTCACTACTTCCATCCAAGAACCTTTAAATAATCAGCTAAAAGGACAAAATAAAATGTTTTTTTTCTTTGTTAATTGATGAGCTTCTATAAGGCAGAGAGTCTAGGACCTGGTTGGTGGTTCTACTGTTCACATCTCGTGGCTGGGCTAACTCTTAGCATGTAGCCCACTGGTTTGCATCCAGAAAAACATTCTTGTCTCTAACCTCTCTGTTTGGCCTCAGAAACAGACGTGTTTTATAAGCGGCTCAGCATCCATCCACTGCATATACACCAGAAATAATAGAAATAATTATTTTTCTTCTTAAAATACAGCTGGAACAAGACAATTTATATAAAAAAAAACTAGAAAAAAACAATTGCATTGTCTCATTCAAGGTCAATATCATCTAATTAGCTTATTTTAGGTGTAAAAATACTAAATCAATTGGCAGATCATCTTATTTACTCAATTTAGGGGTAAGACACTTAATTTAAGAAATGTTGACTTATTTCTAGATGTTTTTTGCAGTGAACCAGCTGATCCCTGGAGAGGTGACCCGGACAACAGACACAGATGTTCTGCTTCCCGAACACATTTCAAAGTATTCAGTAACAGTAACATTTCTGGAAGAAAGTATGGAGAACCCGGGGAGACCCCGTCCATGCTAATGGAGAACCTGTCCATGCTAATGGAGAACCCGTCCATGCTCATGTAGAACCCATCCATGCTAATATAGAACCCATCCATGCTAATGTAGAACCCATCCATGCTATTGGAGAACCCATCCATGCTAATGTAGAACCCATCCATGCTAATGGAGAACCCGTCCATGCTAATGGAGAACCCAGCTTATGGAGAACCCGTCCATGCTAATGGAGGATCTGGGGAGAACCCATCCATGCTAATGGAGAATCTGGAGAGAACCCATCCATGCTAATGTAGAACCCATCCATGCTAATGGAGAACCCGTCCATGCTCATGGAAAACCCGTCCATGCTAATGTAGAACCCATCCATGCTAATGTAGAACCCATCCATGCTATTGGAGAACCCGTCCATGCTAAAGTAGAACCCATCCATGCTAATGGAGAACCCGTCCATGCTAATGGAGAACCCAGCTTATGGAGAATCCGTCCATGCTAATGGAGAACCCATCTATGCTAATGGAGAACCCGTCCATGCTAATGGAGAACCCGGGGAGAACCCATCCATGCTAATGTAGAACCCATCCATGCTAATGGAGAACCTGTCCATGCTAATGGAGAACCCGTCCATGCTAATGGAGAACCCAGCTTATGGAGAACCCGTCCATGCTAATGGAGAACCCAGCTTATGGAGAACCCGTCCATGCTAATGGAGAACCCAGCTTATGGAAAACCCGTCCATGCTAATGTAGAACCCATCCATGCTAATGGAGAACCGGTGCATGCTAATGTAGAACCCATCCATGCTAATAGAGAATCCGTCCATGCTAATGGAGAACCCAGGGAGAACCCATCCATGCTAATGGAGAACCCGTCCATGCTAATGGAAAACCCGTCCATGCTAATGTAGAACCCATCCATGCTAATGGAGAACCTGTCCATGCTAATGGAGAACCCGTCCATGCTAATGGAGAACCCAGATTATGGAGATCCCATCCATGCTAATGTAGAACCCATCCATGCTAATGGAGAACCTGTCCATGCTAATGGAGAACCCGTCCATGCTAATGTAGAACCCATCCATGCTAATAGAGAACCTGTCCATGCTAATGGAGAACCCAGCTTATGGAGAACCCGTCCATGCTAATGTAGAACCCGTCCATGCTAATGGAGAACCCGTCCATGCTAATGTAGAACCCATCAATGCTAATGGAGAACCCGTCCATGCTAATGGAGAACCCAGCTTATGGAGAACCCGTCCATGCTAATGGAGAACCCAGCTTATGGAGAACCCGTCCATGCTAATGTAGAACCCATCCATGCTAATGGAGAACCCGGGGAGAACCCGTCCATGCTAATGTAGGACCCATCCATGCTAATGGAGAACCCGTTCATGCTAATGGAGAACCCGGGGAGAACCCATCCATGCTAATGGAGAACCCGGGGAGAACCCGTCCATGCTAATGGAGAACCCGTCCATGGTAATGGAGAACCCGTCCATGCTAATGGAGAACCCGGGGAGAACCCATCCATGCTAATGGAGAACCCGGGGAGAACCCGTCCATGCTAATGGAGAACCCGTCCATGCTAATGGAGAACCCGGGGAGAACCCGTCCATGCTAATGTAGAACCCATCCATGCTTATGGAGAACCCATTCATGCTAATGTAGAACCCATCCATGCTAATGGAGAACCCGTCCATGCTAATGTAGAACCCATCCATGCTAATGGAGAACCCGTCCATGCTAATGTTGAACCCATCCATGCTAATGGAGAACCCGTCCATGCTAATGGAGAACCCAGCTTATGGAGAACCCGTCCATGCTAATGTAGAACCCATCCATGCTAATGGAGAACCCGTCCATGCTAATGGAGAACCCGTCCATGCTAATGGAGAACCCGTCCATGCTAATGTAGAACCCATCCATGCTAATGGAGAACCCGTCCATGCTAATGGAGAACCCAGCTTATGGAGATCCCATCCATGCTAATGTAGAACCCATCCATGCTAATGGAGAACCTGTCCATGCTAATGGAGAACCCGTCCATGCTAATGTAGAACCCATCCATGCTAATAGAGAACCCGTCCATGCTAATGGAGAACCCAGCTTATGGAGAACCCGTCCATGCTAATGGAGAATCTGGGGAGAACCCATCCATGCTAATGGAGAATCTGGAGAGAACCCATCCATGCTAATGTAGAACCCATCCATGCTAATGGAGAACCCGTCCATGCTCATGGAAAACCCGTCCATGCTAATGTAGAACCCATCCATGCTAATGTAGAACCCATCCATGCTAATGGAGAACCCGTCCATGCTCATGGAAAACCCGTCCATGCTAATGTAGAACCCATCCATGCTAATGTAGAACCCATCCATGCTATTGGAGAACCCGTCCATGCTAAAGTAGAACCCATCCATGCTAATGGAGAACCCGCCAATGCTAATGGAGAACCCAGCGTATGGAGAATCCGTCCATGCTAATGGAGAACCCATCTATGCT